AAGCACGGGAGATCACTTCGCCCACTGCCTCATCGCCTTTGAAAATGTCCACCGCAGTTGTGGACGAAACGTCAGGAAGAAATTCCCATAGACCAGGGCTTCAAAGCCCGGAAAACATTTCTAAATGTAATCTGACCGGCCGTGAAAGCCTTCATAGTCTGATAAGTTAACAACATTTCGCTTTTAGGCGGCCAGTGCATTCCTAGCATTCAAACGATTCAAACAGGGGTCTGATGCAGCGTTTTCCTCTAATTTTGAGTCGGACAACATGCAATCCTCATACCCGTCTTACCCTGGTGGTCCGGATCTCGATCAGCAGTATCAGGAGCCGCCGTTCTCCGGTGGCCCCAATCCCAGGGGTGAGTAATGATGGCCCCCATGTGGCACAATACTTGCAAACTAACGTTGAAATGTTCCGCTTCAGGCACCTCGGATTTTCAAGCGCCCGCATACTAATCGCGCCCAGCTAGTCACTTAACGAGCTGCCCGTTGAACTCAAATTAGAGAACTACGGATTTATCTAGTTGGTTGTTTGTACTTATGGCCCTAATAAGAGTACCCGGTCTCTCCCCCTTTTGTTACTTTGAATTCGATCGGTCTGTATTTTTGCAGAGCCCTTTGCATTCAAAGCGTAAATGTCTATACGGTAAATCGAGCCCAAAGTGTTGAAAGGTATTTATCTAGCATTGTTCAATGTACAGTCTACATCTAAAGTAAAACATATTCAGCAGTATATCGGCTTGTAGGTCGTAGTTTTAAGGAGCTTTTTATAAAAAAATGCGTTTTACTAGTGATAGATACACCGAGGTGTTTTGCTGTGTGTAAATATTAATTTATTTTGTTGGAAGTTCGACTGCATAGCGCGAACAGAGAACGGTGCATGTTTTGACTATAATCACTGTTTTCGGTTCTGGTTGCTTATCGAAAATCAACTAAACACTCGAAATGTTTTATGAAGAGACAGCAATTAATTGCGGACTCAAAAAGTAAATTTGCTATTTGCAACTGAAAATAACACTTTCGTTATGTTATTCGAATGGCTTCTTAAGCTTAGGAAAGCTTGCACATCTACGAATACGGTAACATTCTATGTTTTTTTCAACTATCTGGCCTTATCAACAACCCAAAACTGCAGATGCAGTAAAAAAGCTGAGCTATCCATAACCGGAGCGTTAAATACAGTCCGTTCTTTTCCTTTGATATAACATATCCAAAAGCAAGTATTTTTGTAGTCGTATTATTAGACAATAAGGTTCCATTGGTGTTTTTCTTAAGAGAAAAGTTTCCAGAGTAGATTGTGTTATATAAGGCAAGTTGTTCTTGTGTGTGCAAACTTAGCTGTGTAGTTTTAACCATTTTGAAGCAATAAGTGAAATGGTGGAATTCGAGCTTTAATTTCGATCTGTATATTTTTAGTGCTGTTTCATCTAAGAGGTTGTAAAACATTAATTATTTGTTGTTATCTTTTAGGTATAACTTGTGTTATTGAACAGTTACCAATAAATGTTAATGATAAGTTAACGGACGATGTAGTTATTAATTAGAAATTAAACCTTGAGTCACTTTTTCACAATTTATTCAATACATATTAAATAAATAACAACAGATCATCAGTGTAAAGCGAATGGCTAAAGAAGTACAATGCACATGTTGTGACAAATCTGCCCATGGCAGCGTTATATCACAGATTTCACGTGAAATTCTAAAAATGGACAAATTGAAAAAAAAAATGAGTATTTTTGTAGATGTGATGAATGCACTTTTCCCTTAGTTCTATTTTGGCATGTATATGTTCTTGAACACAAAGAAAGAGATCAGTTTAGTTACCTAACCGTTAGTGGCTTTTTACAAATGGTTCACAGAACATTATTCGTTAGGAGAACGCTCTTTTTATATACATTGCTAATAAGAGGCAAGATAATTGAAATTATATCGAACATATCGATAAGCAGTAAGCAGTTAAGAATGGAATTGTAGGAACTACGTGGATCTGTTATCTATATGTCCCCTTAACGCTACATAGTGACCCAAACGAGCATAACTACACAAGCAAATTGTACGTTCAAAAATAGTAAACTTTGTACGCGAAAAGTTCCCATTTTTTACAAACTTCTTTTTGGGTATTTCGCCTCAAAAATTTTTGTCTTTAAAAAAGACAAAATTTCCTCACGTCTTTTATTACAGATTGATAAA